TGGAGGCTATAGGGAAACAGCTAAAAGGTTGCAGCAACTTAGACAAGAAATATTTCCTTGCCTGTTAGCTTCTACACTTCCTAGTTTTCTTATTGCTGCAAGAGTTATACAGGAATCATAGGCCATTTATATGGGGGGAAGAGACAGCCTGTTGAGATGGTTGTGGATCAGTGGAAGAGAAGCTTTGTGACAAGACTTGGGAAATAGAAGAGACGGAAGCTCAAGTAGCGTCAATTGTCAAGTTACTACAAATACTACTGTCACAGTGTCTTCCCGGTTTGTGCTAATCACTATTGTTCTGTTGTCACATCTTCTAAGAGGCATGAGCAGCTAGTTCTGGTTGTTTCGTGAGACTGATCTGGTCATTGTCTGAACCTGGTCTTTGTTTGGAATGCTCCATTTCGGGATAAGGTTCAAGTCAAATGAACACCAGCTGTGAACAACATTCATGTAATCTGCTTCAGATTTGACCTAATCAATGAGTAGATGTGAACACTAAGTTCCTATGGAAGGCTGCAAAGGAGAGCAGGATTATCCCACAGTATGATGTGGTACTGATGAACATGTGTGAAGACAGTCCTGTGTTTCATGTCAGCATTTGCAGGACTCTTATGCTACTCTTATTACAAATGAGAGCGATAAGACCTCACGAATATGTTGCTATTCTTGGAAACAAAGCTTTCTTCTGAGGAGACTGTTTCCTGTCTTTGCAGCCAGGAAAAGAACATCTGACAAGGCTTTTTGCAAATGGAGCTGAGAAAATCAAGGAGGAAAAGAAGTAATGTTCCCTAATTTCCGTCTCTGGTTTGCTTTATCGCTGGCCATTATTTTAGGAGTCACTTGTAACAAAAATGGAGATAGAGTTTGAATTGGAGGAGGAGGTAGTAGTTCCTGGGAGTGTGTTTATATTGACTATCAATGTGAGCTGAGAGTGACAGTTACAGAAGTCAAATTGTAACTGTTTTTTCACTGTGTTACATGATCTAGTTTGAAAACAGAAATGAGAATGTAGCAGCCTTGTCATAGATCTCTTTTCTGAATGTTCTTAAATAGGATGTTGTCAAATGCAACATATGCTGTGCATAAAAACTGTATTTTTCTGACTAGTTATAATATAAACAGACTGTAGATGTGTAAGTCTCAAGTTTAACCATGTAATCAATTGCTCTTTACTTCCTTAAGAAAAACCAAGTCTGTCTTGTTTCAGCCTTTCTCAAACCAGTTCACATAGTCTGTTTTTGATTCAGCATTGAAGCAGCCTGGTTGTCATACTTTTAGTCTACTTGCTTCAGGTACTTCTTTTATTTAAAACTGCCCAGGAATTCCTTAGCAGAACTGTTGGACTGTATTGTCCTTTAGGAGATGCATTTAACTACATCTTGCTTTTCTATTGCTCCTCTAAAAGGTTAGAAAGATGAGAGACATATTCTAACAAGCTTTTATTTTCTGCTCCCAGAGCTGTGGGGCTGTGTAAGTTTTGCAGAACTATCCCACTGCTGCTTACTGTAATGGTGTTGGCAGTGACAGGCGCTGGATTGTAGGTACCTCACTCGCTGCTTGCAGTGTTTTGATCAACACAAGTGAAATCAGAGCCGAACAAAAGTCAATGAGAGTTTTGTCATTGATTGCACAGCAGCCAGGATTTCTTCCCAGCTGTTTCAAGCACAGCGTGGTAATGAGGGGAGCACACCCATTGGTATGGCTGGATTTAAAAGGGGAAAAACTCACACGTACAGTGGGTCTTTATGTGGATTTCCTGTTCTTCCTAAAACTTTTCTTCCTTTACTGTAGCTGAGTATTCCTTGAGCTGGTAGGTTTTTAGAATATAATGCCCAGAGGCATCATAAAGCAACTTACTGCTGTGCTGAAAATCCCTCAACTCTTAACTTTCATAAGGCTGAAAGACATTTGCTGTTTAAGAAGATTGTAAAGGAAATGAGTTTGCGGAAGTTGAAGATAGTTACAGGGTCTGAGGAAACTGGCGGCTTCCTGTATGACTTTGAGCAGATCACTTAACCGTGCTGTCTCTATTTTCTTACCCGTAAGATGGGGTAGTGAAGAAATACAGAGAGTTGGAACATCCCACTTAGTTGCTTTATATACAAATGGATTTTCGGAAAGCAGAAATCCTGCTTTGAGGGCAATAGGTTTATAAAAGCAGAAGTGCTCTCAGTACATATTACATGTGTTATCATGTGTAGCTTTATCTCATAATGGGGATAGATATGGGCTAACACAATGAGAATGGGGGGCAATAAATTTAGGAACTAGTTGAACTAAAAAGGACAATATTGCACTGAAACCTCCAAATTGGGATGCACCTGTATTTGTCAGACTGTCTCTTGGCATCAGTTCCTCGCTTTCGCTATTAAATAATCTTCAGTAATGTCCATTTCACATCCCAGTGCTCCATTTCTGTAAAAGGTCTTTTCTTTTACAAAAAGAGAGGGGAGGAAAAAGGAAAATATGGCAAAATCTGATGAAGATGCAGCTGCACTGCTCATGCTTTCTGCTTCTCTCATACGTACTTCCAGCAGCTTGTAGGGTTTATTTTACAGGGAAGACAAATTTGGAAATAAGAGAGCAAAATTAAAATTACATTATTAACTACAAAGTGGTTTAAAAATATGAGTTTGGGATAGTCCTGCTATCTGATATGGCTTTGATTCCAGGTTCATCCTTCATCCCATATTCAATTGTGCTCTGTTAAATTAACCTGACATGTTGTTTTACTGCAGTTTATGGGTCGCTTGACAGTACTAGGTTCCATGCAGGCCAGCTGTTCCCAAATGAAGTCCCTTCCTACACTCCAGCAAAATCAGAGCCGGTGAAGAGGGGAGCACACAAACAAAAGCAGGGGGAGGCAGGAAATGCACTGTGAAGACAGCCAAGTCATTTTACTTGCAGCTTCACTGCTAAAAGACTTTCATGAATTCCATGCTCATTAGCAAAACAATGAAAAATGTAGTGTTAAATTACAGTTGGTTCTTGGGACTGGTGTTTGGTGCTCCTTGGGACTGGTTTCCTAAACTCTAAGCCTGAAATGAGGAGTGTTTCAAAGCCCCCCGGCGAGGAAGACACAGAGTCTGTCGCATGCAGAGTTGAAAGGAAGCAGGGAGCTGCAAAATAACTGAAATAGATTTGGAGCCTTTCCCCACCGCCCCAGCAGTTTTACAGTTAGGTCTGTTTAAATTTAATGCTCTCATGTGGTGACTGAGTTCTTGGAGAAGCCAGAAAGGGGATGAACTGCACAAGTACCATCTGGGTGTATGGCAAAAGGTGTCTGCACCCAGCCGTAGCAGTGCCAGGCTGTGTGCTCCTGCACGCTCTCCCTCCTCAGTAGGCAGGAGCAGAGCCAGAGCTGAGCATGGCACGTGCCTGGAATTAAAAACATCACTGCCATTGTGCCTCTCTTCTCTGCTTTGTGCAGAGATAGACACTGTCCAGAAAGTTGAAGCTATAGAGTGCCTGTATCTTCAACTGTATGTGAGCATCCGTCCCTAACAGCCAATGTTTGGGACTACATGCAGTAGTATCCAGAGGACACTGGGGGTGGGTGTCTGTTCTCGCAGGCAAGTTGAAGGTGGTTGTGATTTTTAAGGCAATACAAGTCTGTTGGGTGTGGTGTGACAGAGAACTGCAGGTTTGGGGCTTTTTGCTGATGTGCCTCATTGAGCCAGCTGGGAAATGTCACTGGGGTGTTTGCTCGGGAAACCTGCCTCTGATACGAAAGTACCAGGGGAATTTTTCCTCTGATAGGAAAAGTCTGTAATGGAAGATGCAGGAAACTGAGTACCTGCCAATTAAGAAGTGCTTGCAGGTACATTCCTTGTTTTGGCAGTTTGTGGCAGGCTACTATTAAGTTGGAGCTGATCTACCCTAGCAGACTGGTGATAATCATTTTGCTTAAGATACATCTAATGTCTGACTATATGTGGGTTTGAGAATGTGTGAATGCTACAGTGTTCCAGGGGGATTATCTGGCAATATCAGATCTTAATTTTTCAAGTTTACTGCGTGAAGCCATACCTGTATTTGAATATAGCATCCTGATTGCCAGTAAATAATAGGACTTTCTGCTGTAGGCATCTCTCTTCTTCTTTGTAGTTTGTCTTAGTATTTATTTTACAAGGTGGTTTGTTAGGGGAGTAACCTATTCTAGAGGTCAGTTGGGGGCTGCATTAACCTTCCTATTTAGAGCTGAGTCATTGACTTATGTGGCAATCTTGAATCGCTTACCCCAAGGAAAAGTGAGGCACATGGAAGATAGGGGTTAATATCTACTGCATGCTAGATTCTCTGATGAAGAGCATGGTGTAAGGGCTAAAAACTGTTATTTAAATCAACAGCAATTAAGAGTCTTGCTCTAAAAAGCAAGTCAGGAGAAGTTCCTTGTCATTTATGATGGAACTGGCATATATAGTGCACACATATGCACCCCCACTGTGTGGGGATAGGAGGGTTTGGGGGGGGCAATGGACACCCCACAGAATTGAGCACCTCTCAAGAGAAATGAGTAGCTGGCCTTGCATGTGCAGCCAGTGATGAGGAAGAAGAAGGTTTTATGTTGAGTCTGAATGAAAATCAGGAGCAACATCAGTTGTCAGAATGTGCCAATCAAGGGCATCTTGGTAAATGCCATGTGAAGAAAGATTTTAATTTGGCACTCGCTTTCAGAGACCAAAGAAACAGTCTTCAGACGAAAGTGCTTCAGATTTTGTGGTATGGGAAACCAGTAATTACGAGATACAGTGAACAATGCAAGGTAGAATTGCTAAAGGGATTAATTAGCCTTAGTCTAACTAACCATTATAATGGATGCAAATATACATCTGCAGCCTGCTGAGACATCAGATACTCATCATACACCTGCTCAATTCACCAGCGTTGCAGAACACAGCTGCCAGAAGCATTTCTGCTTGTTTTCTGCAACTCAAGTGTAATTGGCTGTTTGTTCTTTTGTCATTCAAAATGTTTGCTTCTTCTCTTTTTCTGAACAGCACTTCCACGATGGCAGAAAGGCACAACAGCATATTGAAACTTGCTGGAAACAACTTGAAGCAGTAAGTGGAAACTTCCTTAGATAGCGATTTTAAGTCATTTTTATACTATTTTCATGGAGATGGTTCCAAATGTTATATTTGGAATGGCAAGGGTGTATGGATAAGAACTGTAGAAATGGGATATTTAAAACTCCACTGTCTTAAATACACTGGTAGACGCAAAAAAGCTTGGTTTAATAGCACATTTGGCTTTCTGTGGGATTTATGTCTATCGTGAGTAGCATTTCATTTGATATGACTTGAAAAGTGTGCTAAGCATTGCTGGAAATGTGGAGTCCCTGAGGGTGCTGTTTAGCTGTAAGCTGAATAGCTTCATACTGCGTGAGGAAATGGAACGAGACCATCTCTTGAGATGCTGTTTCTCAAAAGTAAATACATTGGAATTGTCATTCATATGATGAATAAAAAGAGAGACTGTAAGTGGAGGGAAGGATAAAGAAAGGGGACATCAGAAACCAAAAGTCTGACTTGTAAGTGTATGGATCTTATTAACTCCCTTGTGCATTATAAGAATGAGGGAGTTAAGTGTAGGGAGGAAGTGATCTTGCCTACAAGAGCAGAAGAAATGCCACCAGGGAAAAACATATAATACTAATGATGCTGGTAGAATTAAGCAGCCTGAAGAACAGCCTAAACTGACATACAGTTTAGGGGCAGGTATAGATTTCAGGTAGATTTTGGTATTGTGTTTCTTTCCCATAATGAAGGTTTCTATTTTTCCTTTCCAGAGTAAAAGGCGGTTTGAGCGTGATTGCAAAGAAGCTGATCGAGCGCAGCAGTATTTTGAGAAAATGGATGCTGACATCAATGTTACAAAAGCAGATGTTGAAAAGGTAAGCCAAAGGGTGGAGAGGCTGTTTGTAAATAGATTTGATGGGTTTAGCTCCTCACTCCTCCTGGTAGGATAAACCCTCTGGGGCTTAATGCTTCATGTACAGTCTGTAGGGTAATTAAAAATAGGGAGATCTTTGCAGAGACCTTGATTTGCATAAAAATTATAAATGGACACAGTCAGTTTTCTTCAGTAGGTGATATCCAAGTTTAGCTGTCGTGGCTCTGAATGAGTTTATGCAGAATAAGCTTTGTGTAATCCCAGATTGTGACACAGTTGATTTTGGGGGCTCTCTGGGGGGTTCTTGCAGTTACCACACATTGTCGATTGCTCTGATCCAGGTAGAAGTGAGCTGCCTTTTGAGCAATGCTTTGAAGATGTCCTGATGTCACTGGTTGCAATGAAGTGTGACCAGGATTGTTGTTCCTGGTGCTAGGTTCACAGCAGGACGCATTTTGATGTTATGCAGAATCCTGGAATTCATGCTTGTCACAGATGGCATGTAGCTTTTTATTTCTTAGTTGCTGCCTGGTTGCAGAGTCATTTGTGGCTTTTATACATTAAAATGGTGCTTAATATTAAGCATGTATTGCTGTTTCAGCATGTATGTCTTGAAATATTTTCTTTCCTTAGTTTTATTCAGGATTGGATATGCAGAAGGATGCTTAAAGTTTAAGTATTGAAGTCCAGTGATGTACTTTGTAACTGAAGGAAACAATGGAGAGAAAGTGTGCTTAAATTGGTTCTCCTTGGTGTTATGCATCTGCTCAGAAGATGCAGTAAGGTTGATCAGGAGTACCACATTACAATATGTAAGGGCCGTTTTGTAGTGAGTCATATAGGTAGAAAATAGCCAGAACGTTTGAAAAGGTTTGTTTCTTAAGAAAAGCCAAGGAAAAAAAGCTGAAGCTTAAAATATACCGAAGTGTTTTGTTGCAGGGATAGGAAAGGAAACTGAATTATAGGTAAGGAATCTGTTCCAGTCCAAGATAGCCCCTGTAAAATGCAGCTTTAGCTCTTCAAGAGTTGTTTTTCATTCTGTTCTCAGTTAATTCCATCCTGGGAAGCTATCAAATACAAATTTTTCTATACATCTATGTGATCTTAAGATGCTTCTAGTACACTGAGCATCCAGGAGGTAGCAGATAGCATCAAGGATGCTGTTAAAAATGAGGACAGTAAATGAATAAGCAGCTCAGAAAACATCCCCAAAGTGCTATTGCACATCAAAGGAAAAAAATACCACTGTGGTCTTGTAATTTGCTTAGCTATTAGTTGTAAATTCACCATGCAGATTTGATCCTTTGTTGCCTTCTGGATTTACCGGGACACTTCACAGATGAATGCCGGCTTGTTACAGATATAACACCACATGTGGGTTTTTCTGAGAGAGGAGGATCATCTCTGCTTTATCTGTATAAAGTGGTTTTAGAATACAGGGGTTTTTTATAGATAAAATTAGGACTTGCCCTAGATTCTTTTTCAAAGCTGAGGCCATGTCAAAGGGACGCAGAGACATGAAACAAAAGAGGCCTGAGTTTCCTTAGTTCTACATCCCTTTGTAAACCTTACCTTTCCGGTAAGAGTGAAAGGCTGTGCATTAGCAATCTGATAGCATTAAGTAAATTCTGGGAATCAATCCCTACACTGGGGGGGGGCTTCCCTTCTAAATTTCTCTAGCTTTTTTATTATATACATTTGTTAGTTATTGTGAAATGAGGCTTAGTGGTATCTCTTGCAGTTTCGTGTGTTGGCTAATCTCAGGAGAAGACAATGGTCGACTTTCCCATCAGCGGGGTAGATGGAGAAGGAAAAGGTTATCAAAACGAGTGGAATGTGAAATAATATTACTGAACAGAGAGAACAGTGTTTTCCAAGTGCATGTGTTAGGCCGGGTTCATCCATGTCAGGCTGTGAATAATGCGCTTTCTTTGCTTCCCTCTGCCCGTGTGACTGGACTCTGACATAACTCCCCAGTGCAGAATAGGACATTGTTGGACCCAGCGCCGCTGCCAGGGCAGCGCTCACCAGCTCGCTCCAGGGACATGCAGAAGCTGCTCAACTTCCAATGAAGCAATCTGATGACTTTCACCTCCTCCTTCTATTGCAGAGGTTCTGATTTCTCTTGCCCCTTATGGGTTGGCTGCTGCACTCCTGCTCTCAAAAGCTCCCAGAACTCTGTCTGGCCAGGAAAGCAGACAGTTTGGCTGTGTTCAGAGCCAGTGCTATTCACTTTGGCGGAACAAGGCGCTCTTCAAGCAGTGGAATCAGTTGCCCTCATTTCTGCAGCTTGAGATTGACACCTTGGCTACTTTAGCTTGTACCTGCAAACATGAGCAGACACTAGAGCTGTTTTTTTGCATCTTGCATTATAGAGTAATGGAATTAAAATTCGGCAGTGATCACAATGACTCATACAATCGAAAGAATATATAGCAGCAATTCCCTAATGCACTTAAAGTTAGGCTGTATGAGGCTCTGAAGTGCTGAAGTCTCCCAATATTTCAGTCCTTGTAGCCTTTGACAGATGCAGCAGCAAATGCTATGACAGAGCTGTGAGCTACCAGCACTTATTATAGTCTTGCCTAAGGGACAACTCTTGGTATTACAGTTTGTTCCTCTGCCACTCGTCTGCTTACTCCTAGCAAACTGTGACTTTCTTCCTTATTTCTCCAGGACTGTTTTGTGCATGGCCTCAGCTGTGTGCTTAGAGGCAGGGCTGGATATGGAATATGGGTCCAGACTGTTCCTGTAGGACCATCTCGGACTCAGTTTGCAGAGGGCACATGCCTTGTGTGCTGCTTCTGTGGCCAGGATGGGCTCAGTCATCTTCGCAGCCAGCCAGTCTGGTTGTTGATCTCTGTGAGAGCAGGGTTGAGTTTTGTTTCCTCCAATCTCCTTTTTTGGTGGCAGGAACATGGAGCAAAGGCTGTGTTCAGTCTCTGCAATGGTTGCAGTCTTTATGCAGGAGTCACAGGAGAGTGAATTTGGGCCCCTGAGCTCCTTTCCTCGGTTTGCTTGAACCTCTTAAATCACTGGCAGCTGATGTTCGCAGAGAGATATTGAACTGCAACAGAAGGTGCTGGTTTTGTCAGTTCAGTTTAGCAAAGTCTGGGTAGGAACTTACTGGGTCACAGAAAGCTGTACTGTGAAAATAGCCTCATAAACGTAAGTAAAGGCTTAGTAAATAGCAAGTTGCTGATGCCAGTACTGGGAAGCCTCGTAGGTATCACCGTAAGCTTCAGCGTCACTTGAATCGTGGTGGGATGTGAGCTTTAAAGCTGTTCTCATTCAAAAACCACAGTGGAGCTGCTTCAGTTTTTTGACCATTTGGGGAAGCAGTCTGTGGCTCCAGCACAGAGCTGGTGTACATATAAGGAAGCACACTATTGTTTGTTCCTTCCCTTTAGAGCTGCAATCAATAAAGAGCTGACATCTTTATGGGATAATGTGGTACCCAGCGGTGCCTTTGCAGACTTGTAATAAGGAGGAAAAAAACCCTCGCATCACTCAGCTGGGTTTTCTGAAGGTTTATTTTCAAAGTAGACCTTGACAGAACCTGTTTTTAAAGGGGAAGTGGCTGAGGCCAACCATGGGAGGGGGTGAACGCTTTGCCTCTTGATTTGCACAGCAGTCAAGGGGAAGGACAGCAAGTTTGAAGTACCTGCTTTGCTTTGCTGAAGAGTAGCACAGCTGTATTGGTGGTGTCCTAGGGACTAATTTTGCCAGAAAACAGCTTCAGCTTTGAGCAGTAAAAACTGAGCTGTGCTTGAATTCCCAGAACTGCTGTCCTGAAGTCAGGACTCATCATCTTGTTCTGGTTTTTGTTCCTTTTATGTTAGGAAGGTTCCACTTGAGTGGTATTCAGATAAATGTAGGAGTGGTATGGATTTAGAAAGTAGTAGTAACAGATTTAGAAAGACATAAAATGCAAATTTAACCTTAACTTTTTTAAGTGAAGAAGCTTCAGACATTGCTAAAAAAATGCTAAAAAAACACTGTTTTGTGTTGCTGTGGGGTTTTGATTCATCTTTAGAAAGTCTTTAGCCTGCTCCCAGAAAGGGTGAGCCTGTAGTAAGAACTTTTTCTGGATCCTGTGACATTGAGACATCTTTTCTGGGGCAGTGGGGTTTTCCTTCTGAATTTGCTTTCTTACGTGCTTACAGCAGCTTGAGCTTGTTGCAAGTCGGCTGCTAGTTTGAAATCAAAATTACTCCAAAATTAACCAAACTTCTATCCAAAATTATTATTACAGAATTATCGTTCCATTCCTTCCTCTCTTCTCTGCCCAATCCCATGTCGTATCTAAAAGCAATGAATGGTTCTATTCCTGTGCTGAAATATGTACAAGTTTTAGATGTACTGGCCTTTTTTTGGTTTGTTCTGGTTTTGAAGTGGAAAAATGGAGGGAAATGGAAGTAACCTCAAGCTCATTGCAATCTCTAGCAGCCTCCCCCAGTGCTCTGCAGCTTTCAAATCAGGTTATGCCTGCTCTACCCAAGATTTTTGGAGTCCTAGAATAGTTTAAGATTTGCATAAAGGCATAAAACCTTGTAATACAATACCACAATGACATTAATTCTCTAGTCTGTAAACATAACTGGAGAGAGATGCTGGTGTTTCACACTTGAAGTTTTATTTTCTCCTCTTTTCTTATGCCCATATTCCCTGGGTGCCCTGCATCAATTTCAATGCAATGTAAAGAGTCTGTATCTCCTCCATAGAAGACATGTCCACTTAGATTGCCCTGGGTAGTCATGAGTTGAGTCACTGGCGAAGTCTTACTGATCACATGTAGAAATACTGCTACCTGGAAACCGGAATAAGCTGACCTTCTTGCCTGTGCAAACACTGTCAAGTGGTAAACTGCTTTTCCAGCCTGCAGGCTGCTGCACTGCAGGACACAAATCTCCTCATTGAGAGTTTACAAGTCCTTACAGTGAAGGTTGCATTCAGCTGTTTTAACTTGAGCTCTGCAGAAAGCTCTGATCTGTGTTTCAG